GATATATAGAAATAAGCTGCCAAATATAGTTCTTAAATAGTTTATTTTTATATCTAACTTTACACAATATTCTATTATTAGTATATTGAAATATTATAAGATCAATTTTTGTATTCTCTTCTTTCTTTTATATATATTTTTTTAAAAAATTCCTGTTAAGTGATGACAAATGTTTTTATACCGAAAAAAAAGCTTTTACTTATTGTTTACGACAATGTACGTTTAATACTAGAATTTATATATATATAACAGCATATATTTGAAATTCTAGACACGAAAATTGTTTAGAAAGTGAATGTTATTTTTGATGTTTTTTTTTAAAAAAATTGCTGTATTTTTTGCAGTTTTCTTAAAGAAAGAAATGAAAACAAGCAATCGCTAAATCGATTCGATTTTTGTTCTATTCCCTTTAAGTATCCGTTTACATAATATTAAAGCCGTTACTTTTTAAATTTTATATTCTAAAAAAAAAGGAAAATAATCTTTACTAGAAATTTAAATTATTACAAGAGATAAATTATAATTTTTTTAAATTATTTTAAATATATTTAAGTGTGTATTTTCCTGGTAGAAACACGCTTTTTTATGTCGAAATCTTGTTTTAATGTTCAATGTTTCGAGTGTTCAAAAAATAACATTGCCAACTTTATTAAATTGACTTTAAATCTAATTGAAAGTATAAATATTTGCTATCCAATTTCGTACTATAGTCGATTTACTTCATTCTTCTTCTAGTAATTGCCGAGAAAATCGGATGAGAAACAACCGAAAACAATTTAAAAATACGTTTGAATTATGATATAATTTCGCTTCTATTTTCCATTATTTACTTTAAAATAAAATATATAAGCAATTTCTTATTTAGAATTAATAATCAATAACTTAAGAAAAACAGTATCATTTCCTTTCTTAAAGAAGAAATTCTTCATCTTGTTTACGAGAGAAACCATACAAAAACAATTACAAGGATAATGGAACTTATGTCGAGGAAACATTATCGGAATGACATCCTAACAGGTGGTAAACTTAACTTAAATTCTTCTAAATCAAATTATTATATAAAGAAATATATTTTATCCGAAAAAAACAGTTTCTTTTCTTCTAATTTCTTCCTTCTTGCAAAGAGGAGACTCGTTAAAATGGCAGCTTTGTTTTACTTAACTTACATGCAGATAATTAGAATTTCTTTTTTTAAACGTTTTTTAAACTGTGGGAACGTTCTGACTCACGAGTCAATAAACAGGTTTAGTTTATCTCTAGTTAAACTCAATTAATCAACCCTTTAAGGTCATCTTACTAATGGTGAATGTAGGCTAAGAGTTTTATCAATCTACACTTATATATTACTATTAAAAAACGTAGTGTGCGTGACCCATTTTTAAAGTAATCTGTCTTTTTTTTTTAAATAGAAACTTAAATAACTCTTTAATATTCTATTATATAATCGAGTCGGGGGTTAAATATGACGAGAAACGAAATCCATAAATTTAACATAAAAATTTGATTATTGAATTTCTCTTCTTCTTTCTCTAAAATAGAATCTTAAATATTTCTTTTTATCCCATTTATTATTTATAGTTTTCACTCGATAAACTATCCTCAGTTGGGCATATTTTAAAAGGATAAAACGCCATTTAAAACCTAAATGTAGTTCGTGATAAGGCTTTATTTCTAATATTTTCCTAACCTAATCACGTGATAGGGGTGCATTCCTGGAATTAAACACGTGACAGAACAGTATTTTCCTTTTTTTTTTTTTCTTAAAATGGCAGTCGATCATACACGTGAGCTTCTAGAGCATCTTCAATAAATTGAAGATGCTCTAGAAGCTCACGTGTATGATCGACAATTTTCGAGGCGATATTCTTAAGTGTATATTTTCGCATTTTTTGATAAATTATCCCATTATTTAGACGGAATAAAGTATAGAAATCTGTTTAAAGACACATTTAGAAGTAAAATTTTACATGAAAATTGACTTTCTAAGTCATATAAGTTGTATTTCCTTATATTGCGATTGTAAGGATAAATTAAGGATTATCCTTAAGAATTTTAGGATTAAATAGAGATTTATCCTATTTACTAACTAAAAACTTTCGTAAATAGCTTTAAAATTGATTATTTAATCGAGTTTCTCGTCATTAATGTATCCATTAAGTACCCATCTTCATCTTCTATCTAATTCAAAATTGAAACCTGTTAAAACATTAATATTTTTAGATTATCACCATCAAATACGAAGCACGAAGTTTAGCTCATATTTTAACAAATTTAAGCAAAATTTTGATAGATTTATTACAGGAAGAATGGCAGAAATGAAAGCAATGTATCGAGCATTAATCATCCTTTTGCTCAGTAACTGAAATGAAATATAAAAGGAAGAGAAACGAATGTCTTAAATGCATATTCATTCATCATTTATTAATATCAAGTGGAAACCCGATATTTAACGTTAAATTTCTAGTCAAATTACCATTTGAAATGCAAATGTCTTCAATACTTAAATATAAGAAGTAAAACAAACCCATCTGAGAAATGATCGTCATTAATTCCATTGTTAATATAAATTAATTGATTAATTAAAGAACAAATCAATAGAAAATTTTTTAATTAATTNATATCGCCTCGAAAATTGTCGATCATACACGTGAGCTTCTAGAGCATCTTCAATAAATTGAAGATGCTCTAGAAGCTCACGTGTATGATCGACAATTTTCGAGGCGATATTCTTAAGTGTATATTTTCGCATTTTTTGATAAATTATCCCATTATTTAGACGGAATAAAGTATAGAAATCTGTTTAAAGACACATTTAGAAGTAAAATTTTACATGAAAATTGACTTTCTAAGTCATATAAGTTGTATTTCCTTATATTGCGATTGTAAGGATAAATTAAGGATTATCCTTAAGAATTTTAGGATTAAATAGAGATTTATCCTATTTACTAACTAAAAACTTTCGTAAATAGCTTTAAAATTGATTATTTAATCGAGTTTCTCGTCATTAATGTATCCATTAAGTACCCATCTTCATCTTCTATCTAATTCAAAATTGAAACCTGTTAAAACATTAATATTTTTAGATTATCACCATCAAATACGAAGCACGAAGTTTAGCTCATATTTTAACAAATTTAAGCAAAATTTTGATAGATTTATTACAGGAAGAATGGCAGAAATGAAAGCAATGTATCGAGCATTAATCATCCTTTTGCTCAGTAACTGAAATGAAATATAAAAGGAAGAGAAACGAATGTCTTAAATGCATATTCATTCATCATTTATTAATATCAAGTGGAAACCCGATATTTAACGTTAAATTTCTAGTCAAATTACCATTTGAAATGCAAATGTCTTCAATACTTAAATATAAGAAGTAAAACAAACCCATCTGAGAAATGATCGTCATTAATTCCATTGTTAATATAAATTAATTGATTAATTAAAGAACAAATCAATAGAAAATTTTTTAATATATTTCATTCATAAAATGCTAATTCTTTTTTTTTTATTATTTAATTTTTTTCTAAAGCATCTTTAGAAAAAATCAAAGGGAGGATTGAGGATGAGGATTGAAAATTCAAATTTTCAAGAAATATCTTTAAATTATATGATTGAAAAACTATTTTAAAACATAACTCTTAAACTTTTCATTGGGTTTATCTTTGAAAAATTACTTTTTAAGCGTAAGAAATTCAAAAAGAAAGAAAGAAAAAGAAAAGTTGGGCGTAAATTCATCGATTTAATGACTTCCACACGCAAAATTTAAATTAATCATAATGGAAATAAAGTTAAAAATATGAATTTCTTTTAAAAGATAAAATAATTTTCAGAAATAAATGCATTTTAATTTGAATGAATTTAGAAAAATGGTTCGATAATATGATAAACGTTTAAAGTAATGAAAGTGGATAGTTTACATTTTAAAAAGGCGATTTTACAGGAAACAAAATCAATTTTCCATCTAAGAAAATCGCATTTTAATAGATAAAATTTGCTATTCTTTTCAAACAATAAAAGAGAGATTAAGAAACAATCACATTTATACATATTAAAGTTGCTGGTTAAATCGTTAATGTAAACGATTCGTTCCAAGAAAAATGATCCATTCTTGAAAGATCGTTGGCATTTACAGAGAAATTACGATATTAATTCTCTCTTATTAAACATGTTTAAAAGCATTTTGACATTCTATAAATTCTTCTGAAGTCCCTTCATGTATCAATAAGAAAAAAAAAAAGTTTTATTAGAAATGCACATTCCTAAGGATCCTAACATTCTTACTTCCTAATTATGTAGTTCTGGAGTCATCATCTTAGTAATTACATGAAGGAATATATTGATTTTTATCCTAAATACACTCGGTATCTTCTAAGTAAAATTTAAATTATTTCGGATAAAGTATTGTTTAAAAAATATAGTAGAAATAAAACTTTATTTTATGAAAAATAAATCATCAAAGGCAAAGATATAATAATAATAATAATAAAAGTGTTTATTTGAGGGAAACATTTTATAGTTTTTTGATGTTTTTTTATATCAAAATATTTCAATAAAACTTAAAAAAAACACTTATTTAGTTTGGCATTTTATGTTCTAATACTTGTTTTTTTATTGCTAGAAATATTGTTTAAGAGAAAGCCTCGAGAGAATTTTGTGTTAGGATCAAAGTTTCATCATTCTTAGAAAAATCAAATAAAGTGTTTCAAGTTTTCATTCGGATCATAAAAAGCAAAAGGATTCATCTTTCAATTTTTTTTTTTTCCTCTCTTTCTTTGACGCTTGTCTAATAGACTCATCAAGTTCAGCTGTTCGAGTTGAGATAATTGAGGTAGTGTCTACTTTCTTTGATACAACAAAAAAACAAGATAATACTGTTATTTTTGAACGAAAACGATCGAAATATATCTTAAAAAGTAATATTCTAAATACAGTAACAATCTAAATGAATAAAGATAAACCGAACTCGAATATATCTACTCATTAGTAAATGAACTTACCTACACAACTGTAACCATCTTCTGATAGATTGTATCCATCTCTACACGAGCACTCGTAGGTTCCATCGTGCAGATCGTAACAGAAGTGTTGACACGGACTCTCTTCTCCGCAATGACCTGCCAAAGATTAGGGAAATATCAGAATTGTCCCTCGTTAAGGTACAAGGTGTATAGAGGTGATCGGTACACTCGGAATTACAGTTACTATAACCCGTGTGTCAATTAGCATCGACTGAGAATCGCTTCGGGTGCAGGGGGTCAAAGTTGAGTAACTTTGTATCGATTTTATATAATGCTTCGCTAACAAAACGTGTACGAGTGGTGCAATTCTATGCTCCGTATGCTATTCGTAGCTATTTTAGCCGTTGGCTATTTGCTCACTATATCAAGGAATTCGATAAATAGATCCTTGTAAGAGGTGCCAGCTTGACTGACTTGTCTTTACAGTTTATTCAATACCTCAACAATTTTCCAATTCTATTTCTCGACTCAAAATCGATTTCTGTACTTAGACATTTGCGTCATTTTCCTCTAAATAAACTTTCTTCGACTCGTGACCATTATTCAATTTCAAGAAAAAAATGGTTTATATCTTCTAAACGACATAATTTTCCATCAAAAATTCCATTCCGTAATATTAAAATCAATTGATTTACGTACCTAACATCTATAAAAAACGGATTAAATAAAGGAATGACTGTGAAAAATTTCATTAATTTTTATTAAAGTATTCCTTATCGAAGTAATTTAATATAAATAATATATATTTAATGATTTTGATCGATCTGCAAAACGATTCGTGTTTTCAAACATACAATTAAAACCCTCCAAAAAAACAAAATATATTCCCAAAAATAGGGCCAAAATCTTGATTTACTCATTGCTCTGATGATAAATAATATATTTAGTATAAAAAATAACATAAAATATACCTTACAAAATTTTTATATGAACAATTTTCCTAACATGGCTGCAATTTGTAAGCAATGTGATTTCTCTGGAGAGAAGGAGTTATTATATAAAAATATCTTACTCTTAAAATACTTCACGACATTTTATTGTAAGTTCTATCACATAATATCTTACATTATTTAAAGTCGATAAATATGGAATCAATCGGTCGAGAGAATATTCCAACGAAACTAAATCTGTCGTCTCGAGAATTTTAGAATTTTTAAGATCGATTGCAGTCGAGAATCAAATTTCAATAATGTGCTCGAATTTTATATAAAAGAAACTGGATAAATGATTAAAACTTTTGCTAGAAAATGTATCTTCTTCCTCCTCTTCCCTATTTATCATTTTTCGTCTTTCTAATTACATCTTATCTATAGAAATTCTAAGTTTTCATCCATCTCGATCTTCTACTTCGAGAAGTTTATGGGCTTCCATCTTAAGAATGCTACGATCTTCTATTTTAAGAAGGTTATGAGCTTAAATCTTAAGAAAGTTGAGAGTTTCTACGTTAAGAAGATGAAGCGCATTTATCTTAAGACGTTTCTATCTTTAGAATGTCTCTTAAGAGGATTATTATAATCTTCATTCTTAAGAAGATTATGAGCCTCCAGTTTAAAAAGGTTATGAGCTTCAACTTGAGAAGGTTATGAGCTTCGATCCTAAGAAGATTATGAGCTGCCATCTTAAGAAGGTTATGAGCTAGCTTAAGAAGATTATAAGGATTCTATCTTAAGACGATTACGAGTTACCATTCTATGAAAATTATGTCTTAAAAAATTATCTTATGTGTCATTTATTTAATGATATTGTCCAGCTTTGTAAGCCAAACAATTAATTTAAGATATTGTATCTCGAGTGCCATTATAAATAGAAAAAAAAGAGAGATAAATTGAAATGAATGCAATTGTTCTATGTAAATTTATTGTCAAAATGTTGTTAATCTGATTAGAATTTGTTGTAAATCAATTGAAGATTGTTAAATCTCATAATTCATTTATGAAACGTAGAGAGGAAGTTAAATATTTTGAAACATTTCCACCGAACATCGTCTTTTGTGAAAGTCACTATTTAAACTATTAATTAATCACGATTAAAATGTTTAAATTTAAAATAATCACGGCATTTAATTTAATTCGAAAATTTAATTAAGGATAATTATTATTCTCCCTTTCCTCTGCTTATTTTCATAAATTCTATGTTAATGATACTACGAAAGAAATCCTCCAGATGCTCATTTATTTTTATTTTCTAAGAAAACTTCAATAATCCGCTCTTTAAGGGAAATAAAATGAAAATAAATGAATGGCTCTTGTAATGAATAAGTTCTTATTAATGGCAACGAGAGTTAAACGATAAAGATTCAATGAAATTGATATATTTTTTTTTATTTTCTACAATTTTACTCGTGTACGGTAGACTCCCCCCCATAACACTGTAGATAATTCCGTTTTATATGAATTCCGTGTTGTACGAGTCACTTAGATTTTACAAATAAGTGTGCCTTCACAGAGTATTTGTAAAATCTAAGTGACTCGTACAACACGGAATTCATATAACACCGAATTATCTACAGTGTTATAGGGGAGTCTAGAAAACTCTAGGATCTTATAAATTATAATTTTTCTAGAATTCTGGCTTCCAGAATTTCTAGAATCAATTCCAATTTCCAAAAATATAACTATTATTCCAAATTTACTATATACTAGGCTATACTTTTCTGAAAACTTATAGGTATAGAAGTGTTTTTATAGGTATACAATAGACTTATACAACTTACTGTATACATCAATAAGCTAATAAATTAAATAGGTTACTATATAATCTAATTCCTTTAGCTAGGGAAGTGTTAATATTGGATCAGTAGCTTACTATTTACTCAATAATCTGTTTAGTTTCGACACGATAGAACTTATCTTCGCCATTTTTTTTATACCCGTTCCTTAACACGAAATTAATAAATTAATTATTCGTTAAGTTACAACGGTAAAAAAATCATTTAAAAATTTAGATAAAGCTTTAAAATATTATATAAAAGCCATGCCAAGAAAAATATTCTAAAAAGATTTCTACAATTTCTAGAGATTGGAAATGAATAAATAAAAGGAGGGGGGGAAAATGGATTTGTTTGTCTTGTTATATTTTAAAAAATAGATTTTTTTTCCGATAGAAAAATATTGCTAGAGCAAGCATTTTCTAGATAAAAGCATCTATTGTAAAGGAAACTCGGATCGTGGCCTTAGAATAAATTATATAATCCATAAAGTCAGAAATTCCATTGAGTTAATTAACACGGAATCCATTTTTCAAAGCTAGTTTATTATATGAAAAGATTTATACACTGGACAATAAAGAAGCCAATTGATTTTTCGTTATTAATAACAATAAATCGTGGTATAAAAGTATTTTAAATAATAAAAATTCATCGTTTTGGAAAGCAATTCGAGAAACAATCGGAATATTTTAATATTCAACAATTGTATTCAACCTTATATTCTAGATCTTATCTATCGATTCGTGTAAGAAAGTAACTTTATCTATAATTAATAATAACGTCTGTTCATTGTTTTATTGTAAATCTAAGCATAAATTTTCGTAGATAGAAAGACGTAATTACAGACAATTCGGTGTTATTTGATAAGAATCTACTTACTGTATTTACTGTATTTGAAGAAGAATGGAAAATATGCAAAACAAATTAAGATTTTATCTATTAGAAAGGAAATATTACCACTTTATATATAAATTATTCTATACTTTTAAGCAATTTTCCTAACATGGCTGCAATTTGTAAGCAATGTGATTTCTCTGGAGAGAAGGAGTTACATTTAAGTGTCTGTGTGTTTATCCCATCCCGTTTTATTTATTTATTTATATAAAAAAATTAAATTAAATTAAGAATTAAAATATTAATATCTAAATAGTATAATAATAATAAAAATTTAAATATCTTTCGGATGGTTGTAATTAATTTTTCACTGATTCACTTTTTAAAAATTCTTCTTTGATAAGATCGATTGCGGTTAAGGAATAACGTGAAAGTTAAAAACACATTCGTGTCGGAATTTATTAGAAATTGTAGAAAAATAAATATAAAAAAAATACAGAAAGTAAAGTCTTCTTTCACGTAATTGCCTTACACTCATCAGTTATCGACGAATGTATTTTCGTCATATCAAAAAAAGAAATCAGCTGTCAAGTGGGTTATTATATTATCTACTGAATCCTTTTCTTTTTTAACTTAAAAAAATATATAGATAGATAAACTGATATTTTTTATAAGATAAATTAAAAATTTGGCCTGTTGGATAAGGAAAAAAAATTTTGAATTTGATATGGATATGTTCTATTGGAATGTATTTTTCTGTAATTTCAAAAAGAAATGAAGGCAATGTCTATATTTTCTTGTATAAAAAAAATAGATATTTAATATAAAAATAGAATAGAATCGATTATTCTGTCTGAAACAAGTAGATGAATAAGTTTGCTGCTATCTTCATTTTGAGTATGATAATGGAAAAAGTTCTTAAGAAAATCTTTATGAAATGAGATTCTAAGAAAGATTATTGCTTTTTATAATAAATAAATTTAAAAAATTAAATAGAAGAAACTTATATAAAGATCATTTATAAATAATTAGTAATAAATTTAACAAATTAATAACAAAAACGGAACATCAAAGAAATTTTTTTTAATGTTTTAAGCTTTTATTAATGAAATTGCAAATAAAATAAAACACCTAAAAATCCCAAAATCCGATTAAAACTCTTAAAAATTAACCTTAAATGTAATTAATTACGTAAACACGAAAAACTTTTCTTTTTTATAAACATTAAGAACTTCAAATCGAAAACATCTTTTGACTTTAGATCCAAGCATGAAATTTAATCTGACACATACGATTAAATTAAATAACGTTTACCGAAAGAGGAAAAAAATAAATAAATAAAGTTTAATTTTAAGAGAAATCGTGCTGTTAATTCCTAAAAAAAAAAAAATACAAAATATATTTATTAAATGGTCATCAATTAGAGGAATTCTTTTTGGAATCATCTCAATAAAACTGGAATCTTTTTAAGTAAGTGAAACTGTTGGGAATTCACGTCCAATTCTTGGAAGCTTGTCACGTTTTGGTATGGCAGCTCTAGCAATCGACACGAGTT